ACAGATCTTCCAAGCTCAAGATCTTATGATTCTATATTTGTGATAGTAGATCGTTTCACCAAGATGGCACATTTTGTGCCATGTACAAAATCTATCACAGGTGAAGAAACAGCTAAGCTTTTCATTGATAATATCTATCGCTATCATGGATTACCTAAAGATATCATATCGGATAGGGGAACTCAATTTGTGTCAAGATTTTGGAGGACCCTTTTCAAGATTTTAAAAGTGGACATAAAGCTATCTTCGGCTTTCCATCCTCAAACTGATGGACAAACAGAGCACGTAAACCAAGTCTTGGAGTAATATTTAAGGTGTACTATCAACTACCAACAAGATGATTGGTCAACCCTTCTGCCATTGGCAGAGTTTGCTTATAATAATACGGTACATTCTTCCACGCAACAAATACCTTTCTTTGCCAATTATGGCTATCATCCACGACTTGATACTTTTGATTTTTCAAAAGTTGATAATCCTGCAGCAGAAGATATGGCAAATCGGTTGTCAGAGTTACATACAATAATGAAGACACAATTGAAGGAAGCTCAAGAACGACAAAAGATAAACGCAGATCTATATCGTAAGGAGCAACCACAAATCAACGTGGGTGATAAGGTATGGCTACTTCGTCGCAATATCAAGACTACTCGACCTTGTGACAAGTTGGACTATCGTAGGCTTGGCCCCTTTTCTGTTTCTGAACAGATCAACCCAATTGCATATCGGTTACATCTACCGGAGTCAATGAAGATCCATCCTGTATTCCACGTATCTCTTCTTGAACCATATAAGACAGTGGATATACAAGGAAGAAGACAAATGCCACCGCCTCCTATAGAAGTAGATAATAATGAAGAATTTGAGGTGGAAGAGATGTTAGACTCAAGGCGGCGCCGAAATAAGCTGGAATATCTTGTTCATTGGTGCGGATATGATATTAGTGAACGCACATGGGAGCCATCCAGGAATCTAGCAAATGCATCAGCTAAAGTCAAAGTTTTTCATCAATGACATCCATCAAAACCAAGATGAAAATCTCTCTTATAAAAGAGACAAGATTGAGGCAAGATAACATTCAATTTCCTATCCTTGTTTGTAACTTCTTTACATTTGTGACGCTAATTAGATGGAGAGCCAACAACCAGCGGATTCAACTCAAGAACCTTCATTTGCTGACCTGCCGGACGAGACATTACGATTGTCACAACCTTCAAGACGACGCAATCGAGATGAAGATCTTCAAGAACGACATGTTCTTCCTCGAACAGATGGTGAGATACAACGCGTTTGGTATCACGATTTGGGAAGGGACTTCCGATGTTTGGTGATTTTGCTAGAGGTAGGAACAACTCCTGATGGTGTTCCGAATATTCTATTCGAAGGAAGTTATGAAGGCCTCAATAATGATCAAATAACTGGATGGTCTTCCCGCCCTGGTATGGGACACTACCGATGGTTGAGAGGCCCTATCAATCATCTTCGAAGAGAACAGAGATCAGAGTATGTGGCGAATACAATTCGTCACATCATAGATTTCCTCAACATATGATGACCGCTCCTCGTGGAACTCGTCTCTAGAAGGGGGGGTAATGTCACGGCCATAATCATGTAAGCTAATAATTACATATAGAAATAGGTAGAAGTAAGTAAAAGTAGATAAAAGTAAGTTAATTCTATAATATTTAATATAGAAGCTTCCTAGAAACTTCCTAGATGCTGCTTTGACTTCATAGGTGTCTTTAATTGACTTTTTGGATTAGAAACGTGGTCAACAAGTTGGCCATGTGCCACACATGTTGTTAGCTTGAAGATCAAGCTAACTATGTGGCCCACACGTAGAAAAACTTGCCTTGTAAGTCAAGGCATGTGTCCTACAAAGTCAACACATATTGGAGGTCCTATAGAACGTCGCCACGTAGCCCCTAGTTAGATAGTATATATAGAGACAAGAGTGAAGGCTTCTTCACTCTTGTCAACTCTTTTCTTGCTTCTAGTCCAGGTTCAAGAGTCTTTAGTTTCTTGTCTTGTGGCAATAGCCATTCCAGTTTCCTTTTAATATACCTACTTGTTTATATTTTGACTTATTATATCGAGATAGCCTTTTAGTGTATATTTTCCCTCATCGAGTCTTTGTCCTTGACACAAAGTGACATGAGGCAATGGACAAAGAAATAGCTTCTATTCGCAAAAACCATACTTAAGATCTAGTCATTTGATCATAGAATAAAAAAAATATATTAACTAAGTGAATATACAAGCTTAAGTAAGAAAATAATTTGAAACAATATATTTACAAAGCCAAATTAGTAGGAAGAAGTTTTGAATGAAAAAAAGAAATTTACTACAATGAAACTTTTATGGTAGTAATAAAGTGGAATATCTTACAAGCTCTAATAGCTATATCTGTTCAAATAGGTTGAAAACTATATGATCTAGATATTAAAATTGCTTTCTTAAAAAAAGATCTTTTTCAAAAAATTTATATATTATAACTTGAATATTATATTGTAGCAAGAAAAAAAAAACTAAAAAAAAAAAAAAAATGCAAACTTTGAAAAAAATTATATGGTTTAAAACAGATCGTTAGGCCATGGTATTCCAAAATTGATTCATACATAAGAAATCAAAGACCACATAGATTCAATGCAGATTATAATGTGCACTGCATGGTTAATAATGGAAGCTTGGTAATTCATGGGCTATATGTAAATGACTTATTGATAACAAGAAATGATACAAGAAAAATTAATTGGCTTAAGAATCAACTAATAAATAAATTAAAAATGAAAAATATGGATAAAATAAATTCTTATATGAAAATAAAATTTTATTATCTCAAGCACATCATCTTTATGAGTTGATAAATCCTATATTTAGAAAATTTTGGCTAAATTTGATATAATTTCTTGCAATACATATTATATACCTAACAAATAAAATATTAAATTAATTAGTGATATATATAGTAACCCTATAGATATTACTAACTATTATTACATAATTAAAAAAAATTATATCTAATAAATTTTAGACCAAACATTAGCTATGTATTAGATATCTTAAGCAAATTTATACCAAATCTATAAGTACTATGCTTGAAACTACAAAAAGAGTTTTGTATTATTTGAAAGCAACTACTAAATATAAAATTCTTTTTTAATATAATAAAAACAACAATATTATAAGTTATATAGATATAGATTGAGTTGGTGATCAAAAAAGCAATAGATTTATTTTTGGCTATTGATAAGTAAGCATCAGCCAACCTTCACTTTGAATTCAATTGAAGTGGAATAATAAGTAGTTGCCAAAGACTTAAAAGAATCTATTTGGTTAAAAAAACTAACAAGTGAAATAAGACTACTCAAAAAAGAATCTCAAATGACCATTTGTTGTAACAATACTAATATAATTAAAATGGCAAACAACCTAGTATTTCATGTAAGGATAGAACATATAAAAGTTCGTTGTGACTTTGTCAAAGAACGTAGAATTGAATGAAATCAAAATTATTCATGTCAATATACAATCACAGCTAACCAATATATTGATTAAGCCATTGGATGCAAGATTTTTGACAATCTTTGGACATGACTTGGTATCCTATAGCTAAAAACTCTTCAATTAAATCAATAACAGAAGCTTTACTCCTCAGCGACAATGGTGAACATAGGTGTTACTAGGCCACCTTGCCTCATCAATGTCGTCAGCATAGACAAAAATTATTTATTTGCTAAGATCTACTTTGATGGAATAAGGAGCATCCTCCCCCTTTACACAAAATTGCAAAAATAATATCTCAAATTCAAAGTGTTCCTGCAACAAAAGGTATTTAACCTCTCCTTTTGCTACCTCAGACTTGTAATCCGGAGTATTCACTCTATGAAATAAACTTATATAAGTTTATTCTATATTCAATAAAGTATGTGACGTTGAAAACAACTTTCATAATTTAATCCGCTGATTATTTCTCCACTCGCTGATTTTTCCTTCTCGTCCTGCACTAAGGACTCCCTGGTATTGGTTGTGGTGAACTTGCAGCAGCAAGGAAACATTCAGCAGCATGAAATCATACAACACATGCACAGCAGCACATTTAGAATCGTCACTGAAGGTTTGAACCCCTCTCGCTGAAATTCCATTAATTTTCCCAGCTAATTGTTGGTACTTATCGACATCGACGGAATTCATTTCTAAGCATCATTGCTGCACCATTAACACCCCCAAGAAGGGAATACTTCCCAGATGCTGTCCATGTTATATTCTAATATGCTGTGGGCATGATAGTATAATCCACCATTCTGGAGAAATGAGCGTATCGAACATTCTCTACAGTGATGCGATTCATGCAGTCGATGTTTGTACACCATTGAACTCAGCCCACGTCGATGTTAGCTTCGAATTGTGTGCGATGCGTTCATCCCATGATCTCGGAGCTTTGTCTCGAGCTTCACCACTCAGACGAATCATCAAGTGGAAATGAAATGTAACTATCGATGAAGGAGTGAATGACCCCGGCAACAAGTACATAAGTTTAACGTCAATATACTGACAGTCTAGTACTGATGCTTGTAGCATGCTGAAATCAACCACAGTCATCATCTGCTCGTCCCTGTGTCTAACGAATCAACTCTCCTCCAGAATGTTTGAAGATGTAATTACAGCAGTTTTCTCGCGAGGCGTTGGAGAATCGGTTTCTCAAGGTGACGTCTCCGCTACGCTGGGTGGGTTGTATTAGCTGAATGGATCAAGCTTCCCGCTGGATGTTCATGAGTGAAGCTCAAAACGGCGAATCGATTTCAGAAATTTCGGCGTGCTTCCGAAGCAAAAAGTTGTAGTCAAGAAATTCGGAGAAGGATTTGATTTCTTCGTCCATGAGGTCCGAGAACCCATCACGTTCATTCAGACATTTATTGTGCCGGGGGGCCCCCGGTCGTCATCCTCTGACTGGTGACTCCCTTTGCTTGTTCCGTTCCCCTCCAATCCATCCTCGTCACCACTTTTCAGTCACCATTGCGCATGTAAACTGGCTCTAGTCGATAGTTTATTTTCTTTCTTTCTGCATTTGCGCAGTTCAGGGTCATTCACCACAGTTTCAGTGCACGTGTCATTCAATTGAGAGTGGGGGGTTAGAGTTCCTAGCTTGCATGGTCAATTGATTGTTGAATCCGAAGCTGTAACGAACGTCTTCGATTGAATTGATCGTCTGTGGTGTTTGATTCTAGGGGGTTCTGCCTCTGCATTCGTGGTTGAACTCCAGAGTGATCGTGGCGTGAGAATGTGAGCTCTTGTCACTGATCAAAGAGTTTTCTGAGGTTGAGCTGTCGAGGCCTGAGTTTTAGAGGTTCGAACCTAAACTAAATTTGGGAGAGGGAGGCATGGCTAGGTGGAAAGCTCTCGACGAAGGAGTTCTAACAAGCCGTAACTTGTTGTAACCGATTAGCTGCATTAATTTCGTTGCACGCGATCCAGGTTGTGAGTCGGAAATGTTGCAGCAGACTGCACGAGACGTCTGGGAGAAGTTAGACGCAACTGATCATCGACGATCTTTTTTTTAACCTTTCGTGATCAGTTGTAGCTCAAATTCATGAATAATGGCTCGCTGGAGTCCAGAACCTCACCTGGGATCGATTTGCATTTCACTTAACTTCGTGATGATCGATTAAGTATGCAGTTTAGGGTTTGTTACTTGGGAGCCACTGACGGATGACGTCACTGGTGTTTACCACCCATGTTCCGGTTTAATGCTCTCATGAACTTCACCCAACTGGTATCGAATTGAATTCCTCTAACTTTTAGGTTGATTGAATCTGCTCGCACGCATCATTGTCGTTCTCTTTTCTTTTTCTTTAAGCGCCCGCCACTTTCGATTAAGGACACAGGTTTGTCTTCGGATTTTTTTATTCCTCCCAGATTAGGTGCCCTCCGTGCACCCTGCAATCGGTCTGCTGGGCACCCAAGTAAGCAAATGTTCCTGTTTCTCTTGGAATGCATCTGGATCATTCTGAGCACAGAAATTGATGTACTATCCGGCTTGCGTTTAGGTAACGATGGACGAATCAGGGAATGTAAACCATGTCGCAAACGGGCATACGAACGGCGTGCAGACGGAGGAGGAGAAGGTTATCGAGACGCACAACAACGAGGCCAGGTTGCGTAAGTTTAGAGAAGCGCTTGGGAAGGCTGAGGGAGACCCGTTGCGTGTAGTGGGGGTGGGTGCGGGAGCTTGGGGTAGTGTCTTCATTGCCATGCTGCAGGATACCTACGGAGCTTTCCGTGATTCTATACAGGTAAATGCATTTTTGTGCTCTCAAATTTATTTTATGTCAAAGATTGTTTTTAAGGGACTCTTCTTTCTTTTTTAAGAATGTGTGGTATATTGATGAGCATCAATTCAATACCCTGAAGAGTTTCATCGCCATGGGAGAAATTCTAATGTTGCAACGTAATCGTGTATTCAGCTGCTGCTGGGAATGTGCTTGAATCGTGTTTTCTTTTTGTCTCATTTCTTATTCTGTTCTAGCTACGGTTGTGGAGAAGAGGAGGGAAGGAGGTGGATCGTCAAACGGCAGAGCATCTGTTTGAGGTGATAAATTCTCGGGAAGACGTGCTACGTCGTCTTATTCGCAAATGTGCGTATCTCAAATACGTAGAAGGCCGGCTTGGGGAACGAATTCTCTACGCCGACGAGATACTCCGAGATGGTTTTTGTGTGAACATGATTGATACTCCTCTGTGTCCTTTAAAGGTGGTCACCAATCTCGAAGAGGCCGTGTGGGACGCAGATATTGTTGTTGCAGGTCTTCCCTCCACCGAAATTCGGCGAGTTTTCAAAGATATCGGTCGGTACTGGAGGGAGCGGCGCACCAAGCCCATCATCATCTCTCTGGCAAAGGGTGTGGAGACTGCCTTGGACCCTCACCCCCACATCATCACTCCTACCCAGATGATTGTGGATATGAGTAAGTCTTGTTTTCACATTGTGTCTTCTATTTCTGCATCTCATTTCATTGCTAGAGTCAGAAACAACAAGGCGGTACTCGCAGCAAATTTAATTTGTTTCGAGAACAAAGTTTTGTTGGACTTGGGACAATGCACTTTAAGGTTTGTATATATAGGGTATGGGACTTCCAGCTACAGAATCAACCTTTGGTATTGAGCAACAGAATTCGCTTGTATAAAGCGCGTAGACTGTCTTTGCACATTGGTTCATCATTGTTTACTTATTCAGGGCAGATATACAGGTTCGCACCTTCTGCATGAAGTTTTGGTCTGAACTTCTGTGGTTTCGAATTTCTGGCATGCGCTTCACTGCAACAGAGTTCATTTAGAATAAGCTTTCGTATTTGAAACGTACACTGCTTGATGCTCGACGACTTTGGCCACACCAGTGTTTAATATGTTAGTACAATTCACTTGTGTGTGTATGTATCATCTAATTGGTTTTTTTAAAAAGTTGTAATAAGATGAGTTGGCTTGAGAATTGCAACTGACTGGTGGGGGATGTGATTCAGCCGGAGTGCCTTCTGAGAATGTCCTATATCTTGGAGGTCCAAATATTGCTTCTGAAGTTTATAACAAGGAGTACGCCAATGCACGGATCTGTGGGTCAGAGAAATGGCGGAAGCCGCTGGCAAAGTTTCTGCGCCAGCCACATTTTATTGTGTGGGACAATCCTGACATTATCACACATGAGGTCATGGGAGGTCTTAAGAATGTGTACGCCATTGGTGCTGGTGAGCTACTAACAGGACTCCTCGTGTTTTTCTACTGTGCAAATTTTCTCATTCTAGTTTTACTGATGGACTCGCTAAATAGGAGATTTCGTTTAATATAAAGAATGAACAGAGGATGGTAGTGCCAAACGTGGAATTCGGAGTGTTCAGGAAATGGTGGGCCTGTGCTGACTAAGATAAGTTATGGCTTGTGCAGGAATGGTCGGCGCTTTAACTAATGAGTCAGCCACAAGCAAGGCCGTGTATTTTTCACACTCGACATCAGAGATGATTTATATCACTCGTTTACTGGCAGAGAACCCAGGTCCACTGGCTGGTCCATTGCTTGCAGATACTTACGTTACGCTTTTGAAAGGTCGGAATGCATGGTATGGAGGAAAACTTGCTAAAGGAGAAATTACCATTGAAACGGGTGATACCTTCAGCGGGAAGGGTACGATTCAGGTTAGCTGGAAACTAACGGTGTCCTCTTTGTGCTATTTGAAGCAAACTCTTCTCCATGTAATAAAGTGGAAGCTCTTACACAAGTTAGGGACCTATCACAGGAATCTAACATTTCCATTTTACTACACAAATCTAGGTCAGGGGATCTCCTATCTTGGGTGCATTATTGCTATGAAGTCCTTGTAGTTGCTTAAGATGGGTTTCAGAAAATTGTCTCTTATACGAAGTTGACTTCCACGTCCAGGGTATCTCTGCCGTGGAGGCATTCTATGAGTTGTTGCGACAGCCTTCCTTAAGCGTGATGCATCCTGAGCTTGGCAAGCCAGTCCGACCTGTTGAGCTATGCCCCATCCTTCGAGCTTTATACAAGATTCTTATTCAAAAGTAAGTCTGTACATAAAGGCAGATCAATGTGTACTGGAGCATTCTTTGAACGATGAGGTGACCAGATCTGAGTCAGTTTCTAGTCTATCTTGGAAATATTTGTTTTTATAGGGCATAGGCGTTTCGTCTTTTTCTTGAGTAATAGCGTATGTTGCTCACTGAAATCTATCATATCGATAATTTTCTTCGTTCGTTTTTGTTGTTTTCAGAACTGCTTCCATCACAGCCATTGTGGAAGGCTACATGAGCGAATATGATCCTAGGCATCTTGTCCAACTTGAAGATGCATACATTCCCCAACTTCTGCGTCGTGAGCCCCAACAGAAGCTGACAAATATTAATTCGACGCAATCTGTATAATACAACTGGAACGATAATTATGAATGTTTTTTGAAGTCTCAGCCTCCTTATTCACAGGGTTGACAAACCTCATGTAATTATATGCAACAGAAGTACTTGATAAGATCCTGCTGCGAGTTTTTTACAAGGTGTTAGCTGTCCTGATTCCTGAGAGCGCTCTTTGTTTCAGATTGCAGACACGGGCTACTTAGATAAGGTTTTATTGCTTGAACAAGTATGCTATCTATAGAAGCAATATGGTTACTTGACATGGATGGCAGGTCTGGAATTTTTTTCGAATGATTAATCAATTCTTGTTTCTCAAATTCCAGCGTCTACAGTGTACAGTGTGTTTTTATTAGATCTTGTCCTCTTTCCCTTCTATTTTAATTTTAATTTCGGACGGCCTTGCGACAGCACTCTGCCTGTGCACGCCAAAGCGAATTGTGAAATTTTAAATTTTAGAAGCTTTTTACTGTGAAGTTGGCAAACTTGCCTGTCGATTGAATGCTGCTGAGGCCTAATATGGCTACTAGCCAGTCCTCTTGTGTGATGTAAACCCCTTGTAAATCCCACTCTTCACTACAGAGCTTCAGTGTGAAAGAACTCACCTGGCATCAAACTTCAAACGCTCTCCAGTGTCCTCACAAAACTATGTCCAACTCTGAACAATCACTAGTGTACCTGAAGTTTTAGTTTCTCAAGAGCTAAGCTTGACTTAACACTATGATTGCATTAACTAAGTCAATAAGTAAATTGAGTGTTTATATATATATATATATATATATATATGTATATGCATATTTTTTTTTAATAATTTATCCTCTAACAACTAATGATCTCCAATAATTAATTAAAACTACAACAAATTTTGTTCTATGGTGCATAATTAATAAAATCAGATTTTTAATAATTATTATATTTTTATTGACTTCATTACTTAACAAAAGTAAGAATTTAGTGTTTTAATTACATAATAGTCTTTATAGCAATGTTTTCATTTGTACAAACCACACACCACACTAATACATCTACTAATTAATACAAGGCTTGTAAAATATTCTTTTTCTTCTAGTATAATGTTTCTATTCTAAAAATTTGTTACTTTTTGGTATTTCAATAATGTAAGATATCAATAAGATTATGCAAGTAGATGACTTGAAGGGATTTTGTTGATAATTGAAATAATAAATAATAATTTTGTGAATATCTTATTAACTAGCTTTAGCAAAATTATCAAGGATAAGAATTAAAACAAAACTTTAAAAAATTATTTCACTCCTATGACACTCAAAATAAGAAAAGAGTCAAATTAAAGATAGATACAAGATAGAAACTATAATGGCTATTGCCAAAAATAAAGAGACTAGAGATTCTTGAGCTAAGAAAAGAATATAAAAAAAAGAATTAACAAGAGAAAGAAGGCCTCATTCTTGCCTCCATATATACTATCTAACTAATATTGAGCTATGTAGCAATGTTTTATAGGTCATTCAATATGTGTCTAACTTTTTAAACATATATCTAAAATGCAAGACAAGTTTCTAATAATTACCTTTATAACTATATAACATTAGATAAAAGTAGATTAATTTCATAATTTCATATTGTGTTGTACCACAAGTGGCCAACATGTGCAACACATAGCCAACTTTTTGACCAAGTTTTCAACCTTTCAATCACCTACTAGTACTTGTGAAGTCAAATCTCCATCTAAAAAATTTCTAAGAAGCTCTTCTATATTATCAAATTTACTTACTTATGCTTCTATTTAATTGTTTTTATCATTCTAATTATTAATACTAGTGCTAATATTCATAATAAAAATATTTTTTGAAAAAAAAAGATTTAAAAATAATTTTTCAAAATTTTTATTATATCTCAAGCATAACTAAAATTGATAATTATCTAGATAAGAGGAGTTAAATAGAAGTAAATAAAAATACATTAATTATATAATATTTTATAGAGAAGCTTCTTAAAAGATTTATAGATATGATTTTAAATTTATATGTATTGGTACATAATTAATAGGTTGAATACTTGGCCATGTATCACATAAGTTGGCTATTTATTGTAGAAATTAGCTATATGGCACACAAATAGAAAACTTGCCTTGCAATTTAGATATATATCTTTCATATTTGAGAAATGTTTGAGTTCCTATAAAATATTGCAAAGTAGCTTTTAATTAGATAGTAAATATAGAGACAAGAGTAAGACCATCATCACTCTTATTAGCTCTTTTCTGACTTCTAGTCTAATTTCAAGAGTCTATAATGTTTTAGACTTTGGCAGTGGTTGTTCTAGTTTCTTCTTGAATGTACATATATATTGTCATCTCTTTTTAACATATATTCCATTTATTTATTTATTTATTTTGAGTTCTTATTCTTGATACATTATCTACAACAAACTATTATAAAGTATAGTAGGTAGTGAAGATTTTCAACATCTACCACATATTGCTATCTCAACAAATTAGAGATCTTGAAAAATAATAATTGCATTTTATGAAGGATATGAATCTCAAAGAAAGAGAACCTTAATACCCTCTTGTATTACTTGAAAAGACTAGGAAATCACTAAAAGATGGTAATATATTGAACTAAAATGGCTATTACCAAAGACAAAAAGACTAAAAAGTCTTGAAACAAGATTAAGGACTAGAAAGGCATTGATAAGAGTGAAGAAGGTTTCACTCTTGTTTCTATATATACTATCTAACTAAAAGCTACATGGCGATATTTTATAGAACTTCCAACACATGTTGACTTTGTTAGACACATGTCTTAATTTGCAAGGCAAGTTTTCTATATGTGTGCCATATAGTTAGTTTGTTCCACAAGTTGTTAACACGTGTGGCATATGGTTAACTTGTTGACCAAGTTTTTAACTTACCAATCAACTATAAATATGTGTAAAGTCAAAACCGCATCTATAATGCTTCTAAGAAGCTTTTTTAAAAGATATTATGAAATTAATCTACTTTTATCTACTGCTATATAGTTATAAAGGTAATTATTGGAATAAATATGTATGTATGTGATACATTTTTATAAAATTAATGAATCATATCAAATAAATAGAATTATTTTGTAATACAAAATATAATTATTTATTTTTCAAGAATTGATTGCAAGCAATTTTGTAACTTTTCAAATGTTGAAAAAATATCAACTTTCTACTCTTACTTCTTATTTCAACATCCTTTTAAATATCTAGAAGAAAATATTAAATGTATAAACCTACAAGAAACGTCAAAGATTCACTTTATAACTCTTACATCTAAAACTTAGTGAGTAAAAATAGATCAAACAATGTAAATCAAATCATAAGCAAAAAAACCTAAACTACAAATGAAATGAGATTAATAACTAAAATGCAAGAGATATTTATTAGCAATAGAAGAAAGTTAAATATACATAAAATATTATGTGATTCTATAAATTAAAAATCTATGTATCATTTATATATTAATTAAATTAATTAATTTAATTTAAAATTTTAATAAATTAATAAAAAGATAATTTTTTTTATTGATGTTAAAAATTATATAATTTAAAAAATAAAAATAAAAAACACTTTCAATATAATTTAAATTTGAAAAACATTTTAATAATCTTTTACTAACTATTTGTATATATAATTATATAAACATGAATCAATGTATTTTTATATTTTTATGTTATTCTATTAAATTTTAATTATAAATTTTTAATAAATTATTTCTATAATGTATATAATAGAATTTCTAATTTAAACTATTGGATCATTGAATTTTACAAACCTAAAAATATTATTAAATATAAACAAAAAATCTTAGTATTTTAAATTATATAAATTATATATTATGTTATAAAAAATACTTTTTAAAAATTATTATTATATTCTTTATAAATTATAAAATTATAAAATTATTAAGTCTATTCAATGTGAAGACAAATATATCAATAAAAAAATACAAAATAATATATAATAACATAAACACATTGATATCTTTAAATAATATAGTAAAGATTATAATTCAAGTAATGCAAAGACTTTTTTCTAAATACTCAATATCTACATTGAATAAATTTTAATTATATAATTTTAAGATTAAAACTTTGTATTTTAAGAAGAGATATATTTAATTAATATTTTTAATTTATATATATATATATATATATATATATATATAGATATACATCAAAATTAAAAACTAAAAAAATATAAGATACTAATGTGAATAAAAATAAAAAATGAGTATCATAATTGATGTATTAAATATATATTATAGGTAAAAATATTTATTTAAAATATAGTAATGGATATCTAAAAACATTATAGATGGTTATAAATAAATAAAATTTAAAAATAAATAAAAATAAATCTAATTTGAAAGTAATGGTACAATATTAATTGTTGAATAGGCTACTTCTTCCTATAGATTTCACTACAACCAATTGTCTTAGTAGAACTGGAATCTGTAAGAACATGTAGATGAGGTGTTTTTAAAGTTTTTAGAGTATTTGATTATATTTTTCAAAAGCTAATTATATGAGAATTTTTTCTTTTCCTAACTTGGTAACAAATACTTAAGAGTTATCAATAAAGTTTATTGCACATCTTCAAAATATCATTTAAGAATATATTGGAATTATTTTTAGATATACACATAAAGAATTTACATAAGAATATTAATAGATTAATTAAGATTTTTGTAAATTTGGTACTTAGCTAGGTACACAAATACTAAATAAGATTATGATTCATTTAAAATTAGACTTTTGGTCTTAAAAACGATGAGAACAGTGATCTTTTGTGAAAACATTATGCCAAGATGATGGAAATCTAAAGATTTTAATCTTTAATACATCATCAAATAGATGACCATACTGATGAGATAGCACACAAAAAAACACTTTTAAAATTAATATATATATATATATATATATATAGATATATATACACCTGAAAATAATAGCAGCCTCTCAATTATTTTTGAAACTCTAAGCTTCAAATTTTCAAAATATTACTTGGAAAAAAATTAAATAAATGTGTCACCATCATAATAATTTTAGAGTGACAAAACAAAACTTTATATTTGTAAGACCCACACTGTAATAATAAAAAATAAAATTTTAACAAGCTCCATAATAAAATATTTTACAAATGAATTAATTTATAATCTATGAAAAGATTGTAAGCATCATACTGATGTGTTTTTCATAAGTTAAAATTTTTTTATTGATTTTGGTTCTAAACTGTCCTCTTTAAAAATTTATATGTTTTTTTTATTACTCTATTACACTATTGTTTCTACTTTTTTAAACGAATTAAAATCATTAGGTTTGTATCTCCTATATGTTTAGAAGGTATAATTGTAGTATTTGTCAACTTTCACACCAACATATGTGTTCATCTTGGTAGTTTTCTAAAGAATTTACTCGATCACCTCTTGTATATGCAATAGTAAGATTGGTAAAATTATTTGTGTTTTGATTTTTATGAGATAAACAATCAAATCTTACCAAAAAAAACGCATATGTAGAATAATTTTGTTGTGAAATAGTAACGACATTGTTCTGAAATACATAACTGAACATCTTATCATACACAGGAGCATGATGTTTTTGAAAGTGTTTCTTTAAATCAGGGTTTATTTTTTATAAGTAAGATTTTTGTCAGTGTTTCTTTTATGTTTTTCTCATAATCTTTCAATACGTAAAAAACATACAATTACATTCATGTATTAGGCCAAACATGAAAATATTAAAATATGCATATTATACATTAAAAAAGAATATATTATGTGTATAATTTAATATTAATAAAATTAAAATATGTACATAATATAAATAATTCTTACGATTCTTAAATTGGTATTTAAATCGCATCATGCTTAAAAAAATGTTTAGTATTTAAACTACATCTTTTATATTCAGAAATACTTTAACAATCTGTAATAAATGATTAGATTTAATTTTTTTTATTCACACATACAGGTTTTTTTTTCATTTTCCCTTTTCTCAAAATAAATATCTCTTATTCCATGTGCAATCTTGAAGTTTTTTAGCATGTTAATTATGATAATAAATTACTTCTCTACTATAGGCCTGAATGTTAATTAGCCAATTGTAATGTATGTCTATATATATATATAGACTTGTTGTAATTAAAGAAACAGCAAGTATACAATCAAATTAGAAAACACTAATTTATATCAAATGATAAATTTCAAGATAAATTTTATAGAGAACCAATTTTGAACCAAACTCTTTTTAAACAAAGCCACATTAAATTTGTTTTTTTATTTAATATTTTTTTCAACATCCTAAGAAATTGGAGGTCCATCTTATATAACTTGTTTTGCAAAATAGTCATTGATTTACTTCCATAAAATATATGTTATTTTGACCACTACAATAGAATATGCATAAGTACCTTGTTTTCCTTAATGAATAATTTAAATAAAATCAAATCTTTATTACAAATACACCAGAATAGAAGGTTTTGCATACCAAATATTTTTAATCTTATCTATGATATATAAGAAAAATAATAACCAATCAATCAAAACACTATCAAATATAAGAATGGAATTTTCACAAAAAGAAAAGAACATAATTTCAATCCACTGTAATGTAATATTAGTAAAATAATTTAAAAAACGATTTGTTTGATTTAAGCATCCGTAAATGATCAAAGGACGTGAATGCAATATTTATAAACAAAAAAATAATAAAATAAATAAACAAGAATAGAAATTTACTATTAAATCTATTAATAAATCATGAAATCTAAGTAATGTCAAAATGATAAAAATAGATTACGTGTCAAAAAATGAATGATCCATATATTATCAAAATACACACACACATACATATATATATATATATATATATAATATTAATAGAAGCACAAAGATTTTACACGCTGCACTTCTGAGACCAAAATACGGATATATATAGAGAGAGAGGGAATTGTTTTAGATAGTTGCAAAAAAGCGAACACTTGTTGAATGTGTTGTCTAACAATTAGTAATTAACGTCTAAGACAATGTGATTTGTTTCAAAATTCAGACAGAGGCAAATTAAAATGTGGAACGAGTAGTGTACTTATGATTTGATGCGAAAAAGCAGATTCACAAGAATTATATTGATAGCGACAATGTAAGACATGAGGGAAGCAAAGGGCATTTTTTTCATTACAGTGTCGCATTTGTTGGTTCACAGATTGTTGCGACAATTTGTGAAACCGACGAACGGCTAAGGCAGAGTGGACGAACTTCAATTATTCACCACCGCCGAGACTAAGTCAAAAAGACTGCAAGATAGGAAGAGTTGCATTGCATTATAGCCATTCTGCACAGAATCTTTATGATACCCAGCTCACTATCAACCGGCACTAGCTTCAATGATCAGCTTGTGTTTCAGTATACTGATTTCTGTTAGAAATAGGAAAACAGAGAATTGAAGGCTTGACAGTGATCATTAAGGAAGAAGCAGAATGCATGGAAGCGTAAAACTTCAAGTCAAATGAAAGCATCTGTTAATACAAAACCCAAGCGGTGGTGCCAACTCGAGTCACCTAGAAGTAACAGGTCCCATAAAAAAAAAAATCATACTAGACATACCCACCATCGTGTGTCTGATCTGATCATTCGTGTGACGTTATCTATCTGCATCTGCTCGTGTCTTCCTTCTTCTTATTCAGAATCCCAATGTTAAGCAATTTCCTCTCCTTCCATGTCCACTACCCGCACATTGCCTCACTCGGTAAAGCACTAGGCACGGTGAAAAACTAACAACCTACAGTACCACCGTCTCACTGATCTATCTTCTTACTAGCTAAGTCAGAGTCTCCACACTATGCCACTCTCTGGTGAATCGACTTCTCTTGTAGGTGTGTATCACCTGTCCGTATATGACAAAAAAATTAGCCCTCAAATCACGTTAGGAACCATGATCAATAAATAAGTTTCGGTGCTCTTCAGGGCTGCTGGTGCTGGTGCTGGTGCTGGTGCTGCAAACGGCTTAAGTATCTTGTCCAATAAGAAAGAAACCTTATATGGGAAAGTTGACAACAGCCAAGCTCCTGATTGAGAGGAGGATTTCAGATTTCATGAGATTTTTGTGCGGTTTCAAGTTGAGAGGCGCAATCACATGACAATCTCAGGCTTCAAGATGGAGGCCTTGATTTCCTTGTGCGGTAGCACGACTCCTCCGTTGGTGAAGATCTCATCTGAGACGCGTACGTCTTCTCCTAGCACGGTCATGTTTTCAATTCTGGCCCACTGGCCGATGGTGCAGTGCCACCCTATGATGCTCCCCGAAATGCAGGCGTGCTTCTTCACGCGCACACCCCGCATGATTGTGCAGCGGGAGAGACGTACGCCTGCTTCAATCGTGCAACCCTGCCCAATTGATACGTCCGGACCGATCAGACAACCCTCCCCAATCTTGGCGCTCTCGTCGACGATTACGTTGCCCAAGAATGTGGATCCTGAGGCTAACTTTTCAGGAGCCTTCTTCCGCAGAGAGTCAAGGTAGAGTCGGAGGCCAGTATTGTAGTCCCGGGGCTGGCCGATATCCATCCAGAATCCTGGCAAGACCATAGCGAACAAACTCTTCTCTGCAGAAATTTTGGGGAACACTTCCTTCTCGATGGAGGTGGGACGGAGTTCAATTCTATCCAAAGTTCTCGGACTCAGAAGGTAAATTCCTGCATTGATCTTGTTGCCCACAAACTGCTGAGGCTTTTCAACAAATCTTTCAACACAACCATTTGACTCATCCATTACCACCACTCCGTACTTCGAAGGCTCGTCGACCTGAAGGAGCAACAATGATTCGTCAGAAAAATGAGTAATTAACCAAGTTGCAATAATACTATTTCAGGCATTGCAATTGAAATGATAAAACCCTCTCTGAAGACGAAGGATGGGATCCTAACATCAAAGACTGACAAGCTTAACCAAATGGTTAAAATAGCAGGACAAGATGTCCATTGAATGTGCTCACGGAGGCTGCAACCTTTCTGCCCAAGAGCTTATTGGCACGATTATGAGACGGTAGGATGTAGAGAATTGAGGGTGTGGACCGTGATATACCTTAGTGACCATGATGGTAGCCTCGCCACCGTGTTTCTTATGGAAATCGATCATTTGCCTCAGAGGATATTCACTGATAACGTCAGAATTTAACACAAAGAACGATTCACCAGAGCCATCATCAAGCTTGTCCCTTGCCAATGCAAGAGGACCTGCTGTGCCCATGGGCTCGGTCTCCTGAGAGCACGTAATCTTGATGCCAAGGCTCTTCTCAAAATCTCTCAGAAAGTTCATCATCACCTGTTTCACAGAAACACCCAGATTAGCTTCCCGTCTCCATCAGATCAGAAAAAATATTTTCACAGCGTACGTCTGAGAGTAAGTAAAGCACACAAAATTTTGAGTGAACACATTATAGGTCACGGTATACGTAGCAAAAATTCTCAATGTTGATCATGGATTCAAACAAATTACTTTCATGATCTTTCCATGCAAGTAGTCAATAATGTGCAAAGAAAGGCACGGTGAAGGCAATCATTGCCAACACACGCTGGTTTTGCAGATTCTAAATTTACCACAACGACCCAAAGAAACACCACTGATAGCGGTGATTTAAAGTCAATGCCACGATGTTCACGGAGGACTGTAAAATGGCAAGTACCTCGGGCTGGTAATTGATGGCCAAAACGACCTCGTCCACTCCGACTGCTTTTAAAGCTTCAATCTGCGTAAATGAATTTGGGGGAATCAATCAGAATTCAGGGCATGAATATAGAGCCTAAAAACAAGACAGGTGTAGGGGGGAAATTTTTAAATGTAAGTATATTAGTGAGCAGAGACGAGGGGATAATGTCAACAGCCACTCTTTCCGTCATGGACAGACATCTTCAAGCACTACAAGAGAAAGACAAAATGTCCTGCAAAGAGTCCATGTGAGTAACCACTATGAGGGCACGACACAGTGCTTCAAGAGGATATCAAAAAGCACTGTGAGCATCTAAAAGGCAACAGTGAACCTTTCACAAGACTCACTAGGTGTAGGCGTAAGACATGCCTTCCCATTTTCCATTACAACTGTAAGAAGACATGCACTCTAGGCTACTTGCTGTGGCAACTGTCACAGATCTACAACAGAGGGGGAGGGGGGAGAGAGAGAGAGAGAGAGAGAGAGAGATTGGAATATTCATTTTAGCGGGAATCACAACCCCCCGCATGGGAATGGTTGCATACATCCGCAGAGACTCCAATTTCTACGCAAAAACCCAACAAGACACTCAAATCGCCAATCGTAGTCGTGGATCTATTAGTCCATAGAATGCCTCTTCCTGAAGGATCGAGATTGCATCTATACGCCTCACGATCCACATATGTTAAACCCAACTCGCGACTGTCAAATAATGCGGTAACAGCAGACGAATTCTCACCTGATGAAGAATCATGGGCTTGTTGGCGAAATCCACCAGGGGTTTAGGTACACTCAAAGTGAGTGGCCTCAGTCTGGTACCGAAACCACCGACCAAAATCAAGGCCTTCATGGTGACGGAGGGCAATTAGTGGTCCAAAAAACCACCACAGGCAACTCCGCGAATCCCCCTCCTTCGAGAACACTTCCAAAACACCACTTCACAGATACCCAACTACCCGAATCCGCACAGGAAGCGTCGTCAAAGGCTAAACAATCCGCTCACAATTCCACTCCTATGAACAACACCCAGACCCTCCTCAACAACAAATCCCGACCCAAGGAACAAAACACCACCCAAATCTACTCGATGCGACTTAAATCCCCAGGCACTTCACTCTCATACTCTCAGATCACAATTTCCCTCTCTCGATCCAACTTACCAACCCCAGATTCACTCACAAACAAACCCAGCAATCCCTCCGGATCCTTCGCGCCCCCAACAAAAGCACGAAGCAGGGCACTTCACTGCGCACACAACGACGGATGGTGGTGGGGGTCGCAGGATGAGGCTCGTGATCGGTGAGAGGCGAATGGCGAGGGAGCGCAACGAGAAACGTTGGCGATGTGGAGAGTCAATTTCTGCAAGTGCAGCGCACGACTTTATGAGGCAGACGATTGCCCCCCGCCACCACCACCACCATCCCAGCCCCTTTGCATCCTCTCCTTTTCCATCTCATTTTTTCTTTCTTTCTCGCTCCTTCCACCACCGCAACTGGGTTTCTTTCCCCTTGCACGGCAGCCACGGACACAGTGCTATTTTTGTCCGCGTCCGCGTCTTTCCATGGAGGTGTGATGAGTTGGTGCTGTGCCTGATTTCAGCGGGTGAGTGCCACAAGTCCTGGTCTTCTGACACTCTGCAGTGCCGCAAAAGAAACCCATCACACATACCCGGAAAGAAACGCCTCGAGACGGGGGAAAAAGTGCGAGGAATCTACCCTGCTTCACAAAATTAGCTGCCGCTAATTGTCTTGCTTAGTTTCTCACAGTCCTCCTCTTCTGCCATAGCATTAGGGCTTTCCTTTTTTCCTTTTCGTTTTCTTTTTTGTTTCCTGTGGGTGCGTGTTTTTTTCAAGTGCTACATGAGGTCCCATAACCGTGTGTGTGCTTATGCTGCATAATGGGCACAAGTAGCTCCCTCACAAACCTGGCATGGCTAGGTGTGTGGCTGGCTAGTCACACATTTTGACTTGAGCTCCAGCAGCCTTGCCTTGCTTCTGAGCCACATGCTGATGGCATTGACAGGCTCTCAAGGGAGGGTGGCCTTAGGTGCCATTACCCAGCCAGCCCCTGTCAGCCATTTCTTAGGTTGGTTTTGTCACATTATCTCTGTGCTCTCATGTGACTTGGACTTGGCCCAACTCAGCAACACAATCTCCCTCTCTCTCTCTCACACACACACACAGTTACACACCCCCAGCAATTTCTCATTCCCATCTGCTTACTGAGGAGGGGAGCTTTTCTGGGTTGGTTCAGCACATTGTGACTTTTCCTTTTCATTTTTGGTTTTCATACTTATCTTTCCGAAGTAAATTGACTTTGTCACATGTGTATGTATGTATGTATGTATGTATAAATGGATACTAAAGCTTGAATTGATACTCATGTTACGTATTTTTATGATATTGTTGATCTCAAGGAAAGAAACAGAAGCCTGAAATAAAGCAACAAATCTCAAAGAAAAAACTTTTTGAAGTTTCTTTTTGCAAAAAGATGAACATGATGCTGACTGAAAGCTGGTTAGAAATTGCATTGAAGAGGAGAGTGCCTGTTCTTGTTGAGAAATACAAACATGTGTGTACGTACTTCTTTACTCATTGTTTCAAGCAGAATAATCCAAGTGCATTCTGTCAGAGTTCCCAATCCTGGTTCTGCTGGTTCCATTGTGTGTAGTGACCTGGTCTTTTCAGTTTGGGAGTGGCTAGGCATGGAGCTGGACGTATGCATAGACTTGTACCCAAATATAGAAATAGAATGCATTCGGTGTCTAGAGCAGAAATAAAAGAGTTCTTGGTCGTACTACTACATGTGGAATATGTACATTTGTATGCGGGGGCATATACCGGGCTACTTAGCCCGACCCCCTGCCAGGACCCCGGGAGACGGAATCATGTCGCCGTCATGTGGTCATGTCGGTTGCGGTGGCACGGGGAATCACGGCAGCGCGGGCGTGAAGTGGATGCTTCATCGTAATTGACCTGTTTTAGGAAAACAAACGAAGGACCTGAAAAAAACGTTGTTGGATTTGGAGTTTTCTCTCTGGCTGCAACGACCAGGGAAACCATGAGAATCCTTGCTGAAAGATTCTCAGAAGTAGTAATGCCCCTAGCGCTAGAGGCAGCGATTGGTAGCTCGAACTCTCACGCAGCGTCATCGGTCATCGATCGGACCTTGATCGGAGATCCACAACACTAAGTGACAAAGGAGCAATTTGGAATATACCGAAGGTGTTCCAGGTAGCGGAACGTAACCCGAACGCTGGCCGTGAACAAATGACTGGTGCTGCGGGACCTAGAAAGGATTGCGATCCGGGCTTCGAAGCGGCAGAATCTAGCACCGATTAGTCCGCGTGAGGCGAATGAAGGACCCCACAGAATGACTTACAGTGGATTTGATTCACGAGAAAGGCATGTGACCAGAGGAGGACAGCTTCGCGCAGAGAGGACCACGGCAATCCCATAAAAAACCTCGTCGAGGACATCGGAATGATTCGCTCCCCAAAGCTTCGAGCATCTGAATGGTGGCAGTTGACATTAATCGCAAGCTAACCAAAATACACGCATCTCTCGCAGAAAAAGGATCCGAAAAAAACAAACAGCATAGATAGATATATGCCGCACGATTATTGTGTGGTACGAGTCCGTCACACATCATGAAACAAGAAATACACATTCCGCAGACATGAAGAGCTCCTGCGAAACGGTTCTGTCAGAGCTGTGCTCAAGATCGAACTGTTACCGAACTCGCCAACCGACACTAGCAACGTCCTGCCTCGTCGACACACCGTGTTTTGCTTTTTACATACACCTGCTCCGAAAAAACCGTTAAAACTCACTCGACCGTGAAATCAGAAAACGTGCAGGAGAAAAGTTTTCTCATTTTATATATTGTTGTGTTCACCGCTGGAACCAACCCTGTTGAGGAAATCCCAGTTGCAGGACGAGGAAAGAAAAGCGACAAGTTCTGAAAAGGCACAACGACCAACAACCTTTGCCAAAAATTGACAAAAGTATCACTTTTAATGTAGTAAATTATATTCAAAGATATGGAAGATACATGTTTAATGAATGTAGAGGCTGTAGCGTCGCCCAACAGAGAGCCGAGCAGTCAGGAGATGAGTCCATGGCTGCCGCGATGCCAGCAGCGGCCAGTTAAAGCGAGACAAAGCTCGCGCTCACACTCTTTAATTGCATTTTTCTTTCTACCCACATCTTTCCACTCTTTATCTTTCCGCGTTTTAGACTAGGGATGAACATAAAGCATATGCTCTATTAGTGGGCTCCATTGCATGTGCCTAGGCGTGGCAGCAGTGAAAAACGAACGGCAACCGTTAAAGATGGAACAAAAGCAAAAGTAAGCTGATTTGATTCCGGGGGGGGGACTTACATTAAGGCCCTGTAAGATATTGTATTAATCTTTAAACTCATGTACTCCAATTGCCAATCGTCACAGTGAAGACTGTAGCAGACTGATGAACAAGGGAACAATGATCTGGTCTTGCAGTGTTTCATGTGAGAACTTAAACCTTAAAACCCTTAAACCTAAATCCTAAACTGGGTGTGTATGTAATTTCGGAACATACAGGGGTACTTGTGTAAATACTGAATCTTTCAGGTATATTTCCCTTCATTATATCCATAGTACTGTGTGCAGTATTAAGTGTTGTCCTCACATGTAAATGCATAGAGGGTAGACGGAGCTTTTTGGAACCGTCAAGGAGACCCTGAAAAGAAATGAATATATATATATATATATATGGGTCTGCACACTTTTCCTTAAATTATTCTTGTGATCCATTCATAAAAGTGTGAATAGTAAAAAAAAAAAAAAAAAAAAAAAAAACAAAAAAACAAACAAACAAACAAAACAAAACAAAACAAAAATAAAACAGAGAAGGGGGGGAGGGAGAGAGAGAGACACTGTCGTGCTGTTATTAAGAAAGGGATGAGTATTTCATATGATTTCTTTACCATATATTTTTTGTTGCTTGTAAGTTTATTTTAGTCACCAAAGAAAAATTGCAGCCAAGTGTGCAATGGAAATGGAGGAATATTTTTGGAAGCTCTTAAAAAGAAGATTACCTAAGTATTAATATAGTTGATGTCTTCATGTTCGTGCAGGTAAAAAATCTAAAGTATCTATATATGCACAACTACACATATAGCACATGTGGAAGAGAGTTATATACATAGATATATATGGATGTCTGAGTAATTTATGGGTTATTTTTGGCAATGTTCTGCTAAAACCTGTAATTAATGACTACCAAAGTGGACACAGAATTGGGCCATAAAAGTTACAAAAAAACACAAATGAAATCTGCTCATTGGTTTGTTACTGATCATGAAAATGTACAGAATTTACACATATTATGCTCATTTGAAAATGTCCTTAAGACTTTAAAAAAAAAAAAGGTAATCAAGATGAATTCATGTTTTGTGATTCTTTGTTTGTTGTTTTTTTTCTCATGGATTCTAACTCCAACTACAAAGTCTTTGTGTGTGTTAATGTGTGACATTCTTTGGATTAGTACCAAAATGACAAATTTGTGATACAGGAACTTGTTTTCCTTCAGGTGACTTATTGAAGCACTTAAGATATATATATATATATATATACATATACATGTGAGAATATGCAAAACATATATGTGAAAAAAATTATATGTTTAACAAATGATTCATCACTTGCAGAAGATATTATGGATTGTCAACAATCCAGATTCGAATTGCATAAAAATCGATATTTAAGATGATATTATTTGATTATTGATTTGATAATCCATGTAAATCAGTTTTACATTCATAATGTAGCCCCTGAATAAATATTTAAATATTTAAGAAAAATAATTGCAGTATTTGTAAAAAAAAAGAAACTAAAATATATAACAAAAAATAATGAAACCATTTTTCTATCATCAAAAATTATTTTGTTGGAAATTTTAAAATATTCTACATTAGAAAGAGAAAAGAAAAGAAAGGCTATGAAGTTTATTGCAAGCATTCTACATTACTTTTGAATTTTTACATTTAGATTGTATTTAGATGACATAGTTGATATATGATTTTTTTGGTAGTTGAAAGTTAAAATCAGTGCTACTCATAATACATGTGCATTAGGAGTAGTTTCGACAAAGAAACAAAAAGCACTGTTTCTTTATACAAGTATAGAATATTATGAATAAATAAAATTTTGCAACATACAGTACTATGTATGTATATGTATATATATATATATATATATATATAGTTCAATCATAGATATCCTAGAATTTTCAGTATACCACCAATTTTCTCCTGTATTATTAAAATAATGCCATGCAATAGTTGATATTTAAATTGCACCAAAGTTGCAT